GAGCCCTGCGGGCCCCCTCGGAGCCTGGCCCTGCCGGGGAGCTGCCTTGTGTCCTCCTCTCCCGCCTCCTCCCCTCTTCACCTGCCCCGCTGCGTGGCTCTGTTGAACGTCTCGAGTCAGGAGGGGAGGCAGGCAGGCAGACAGACAGACAAGCAGACAGACAGGCAGGCAGGCAGGCAGACAGACAGGCAGGCAGGCAGGCAGGCAGCAGCTGTGTCTGTCCCGGGGGGGGTATAATTACTCCTGTAAAGCTTTGCATTTATTCCCATATGCCTTCAGAAGGCTCGGCGCGTCTGCCGGCGTTACGGAACCGCCGCATGCGAGCAGTTGTCGCCGAAACAAAAGCTGCAGGGAGGAGCAGAGAATCCCTTTCCTTACAGTAGGAAGCGATGCAGAAGCTGAAAGGCGTTCCGCTCCCTGATTCACCCCCACGCACACCCACTGCGAACAAGGAAAGGGTCTCTGATTTTTGGGTCTCTTAATTATTAGGAGCTGTCGGTGTTCTCCTCGCAAACCTGCAGGGGAAGAGGGATCAGAGCTGTGATCTCGCTGTGCGAACCACCACCCGAAAAGGTGTTCCTGTGTGGAGGGTGGCCGGGATAAGAGGGGTTGGAGGGAGGGGGGGGGAAGCAGCTCAGCAGGCAGCTCAGCAGCTTCCCGAGCCCTGGTGTGCGGCCACCGTGTCTCCTCCGTCGACATTTTTAGGATGTCACCTGGGGGAGGTGTCTGGAGGGGAGCAACAGAAGGACCCCGCAGCGGGGGGTGGCTGGGGACGCAGGAGACCTCGAGGCCTTGAGCAGAGATGAACCCGAACAGCCGGTAACGAGACAGGGAGCCTCCAGACCAGGAGATGCCGGCTCTCCCAGCTGGATGGGGCAGCTGTGGGGCGCAGGAACGGGAGCCAAGGCCGCTGCTGGGCTCTGCTCGTCTCCTGCCCCCCCCTCCAAATTGGTCAGAAAGGGCCCGGTGAAGGGCATAACCCGAGTGGACCCTGGAACCAGAACAACCAGAGGTCGTAGTGGCCCGTGGAGGCGGTGACGTCCCAGGTTGGTGTCTCTCCGTCTGGAGCCCAGCTCATCGCCGGCTGCAGATGCTGTTACGGGGAGAGTGGAAACGGAACTGCCTGTTCGGCGGGATTTTGCTTTCGCATCCTTGCTAACAGAGTAGTTATCCACAGCACGTGGGGTTTTGCTCTGATCTCTCCTCTGGCGCGTTGTCACTTTGGAAACTGCAGGCCTTTTGCTGGAAAGGCCCCTGCGGGTGCTGAAGCTGGAGCGGGAGGGTGCAGCGGACGCTCTCTGAGCCTCTCCAGCCCACACATCTACACAGGTGTCAGAGACCGTGTCAGGGACAGGACCAGCGCTCCGGGGCACCCTTTCCGACCCCTCCTTCCCCCTCCCTGTTGCTCCCCGCTTTCCGTAACTGTCTTGGTTTTCTTGTTGCAGTTACGGACAAGTTCACCGAGAGCATGTACGTCCTGGCCAACGAGCCCTCCGTGGCACTCTACCGGCTCCAGGAGCACGTGCGGAGATCCCTTCCGGAGCTCGCGCAGCACAAGGTGAGTCGCGCTTCGTTTTGGACTCTAGAGCTGCGACACAGTCGGGCACAAGCTGTTTTCCCGACCTGGCACATCATCCCTGTTTCACCCCCCTTAAGGGGTGGGAAGGGGGGAAGAAATCAGCCGTCGGGGCGCAAGGTGCTGTGGGACCCCGGCTCGGTCTGAACTGGAGGGGGTGAGGGGACGTTGCAAATTTACCTGCAGACCTGAGGGAAAAAAAACTTGAGAGTCCAACCGCGAACCCATGCTCGCACGGGAGGGAAAAAAAACTTGAGAGTCCAACCGCAAACCCATGCTCGCACGGCTGGACTTGTGCGTGGAGACAAAGAAAAATGAGTAGTCTGTCTTGCAGGGGGAGAAGGGAGATGTTAAATCTTATCACCCCTGCCTACGCTGTGAGGTTTTTATTTCCTACATAAAATAAGGGGGAGGATGAGAGGAGGGAAGGGGGAGCGTGAAGAAACAAGTGAGAAGAGCCCACATGAGGCAAAGCAGGATAATGAATCTCATCTCACAGCTGTGTTCCTACTTTCCTCCAGAGCACGGAGCACAGACACTTTAATGCCAGCCTTGTTGTCCTTCTCCCTCTTCTGCCAGTCATGATTCATTAGGAGTGATGTCTCATGAATAGATTACTGCTTCATGTCTATGCTAATGCACTGTCAGGCCCCATTTTTCACCTTCGCTTTACAGCCCTGCTTTCCAAATTAACCTGGATTGTGACACTTTATTATTCAATTATTTATTAACGTTTTATATACGTGTCTGTGTGCAATGGTAGGTATATAGAGATGTATGTGTACGTATAGCACACGCTGATGCGATTGCATCACTGGCACGCAGGAGACAGGTTTGTAATATTATTCCTGAGCTGTCACTTGCTTTCATTTAATCAAGAGAGTCCCAGTCTCGGGGAATGTGTCCTGAACAAAAGGAAATTGAGCAAATTGTATGACAAGTCATGCAGAGGGAAGAGATCAGTTTCCATCACTGAACGGTGCGTAACGGGGATGAGGGCGAGGGGCAGCGCAGAAGCGCTAATGGAAGCGACAGCCGAGTGAAGGCGCCGGACAGAGCGTGGTGTTAGGCAGCGGGGTTTGTGCTGGGCAAGATCTCTGAAAACCTTTGATTCTCTCATTGTCCCGGCTTGGCATGCTCATCGCAGTTATCCACGGTGTTCTGTGACCTCTCTGGCTCATCTGAGTTAATTTCCTAGCTGCAGCCATCCCAGAGAATTCTCTTTTGTAGCCAAAATTGCTGCTGTTGTCCGCTTTCTTCCTGTGAGAAAGGAGGTCATGCTGTCCTGTGGATGCCAGCAGCGAATACAAGGATCCTGCGTCCCCCCGTGTGACTGCAGCTGTCATGAGCATCAGATACCTTTGGTCTTTGATGCCCTCGTGTTCAGCCTCGCAGCCTCCCTCCTGCCCTGGCCGCTAGCCCCGGGTGGAGCAGCGGGGGCCTTCGTACACGAGGAAGGACTCGCCGTGCTCCCTGCGGTAACGGTGCGCATCAGGGCAAAGCTGAACCGACCGCGTGGTGCCCACTGCCCCGGTGCCACCCCAGTACCTGTTTGCCTCTCCAGTGTTAGAAAACATTTCCTGATGCTTGCTTGGAGGTGCTGCTGCTTACATTCATTTCTTTTTGCCCACTGCATGGGCACTTCCAGCTTCTTAACTGCCTTCCTGGTTACTGGCTGTGTGGTTAATGGTGCGCTGATGTGGCAAGAGCTGGGAGGAAATGGAAAGAAAATTATTTGTGGCAGCTGGAACAACAGCAGATCCAGAGCTGCTGCTAGTGACTGTTCCTCCAGCCTCGCCAGCTCCCGAGTTCGTTTTTCCCAAGGCTGCAGCGTCGTGTTTGGGAGGATGCTCTCCTCCCTGCTGGTAACCGGTCCCTGGTAGGAACTGGGAGGGTTAAACGTAACTCAGTTAGGCCAGTGCCCTGACTGTGCTGCCAGGCTGCTGGTAATGGGCTTGTGGCCAGGTTCTTTCCGTTGTCTTTGATTCCACTCTCATTTTATCCCAGTTTCAGGCATTGCTGTTTGCAGCGAACAGGCTGGGCCTGTCAAGCCCTCGAGCCCAGGCAGCCAAACCCCAGGAGAGACGAATGTGCTCAGGGCCCTGACAGGGCCATCGTCACAGCGGAGCGTTCAGTTAGGTGGGGATGGATATTTTGGGTTGCTCTGCCAGAGCCCGTCAGCTTTGTGGCTAGAGACTGGGACAGGAGGGTGTCAGCAGGGCTGTGCACCGTGAAAATGCTGTCGGGTTTTATCTAAATCAGAGAAAAGGCATTAAAGCGAGGTGGTTTTTCTTTTCTGTTCTGAAGAATTAAAAGAAACGTTCTGTGTAGACCCGTTCTTAGGTAATTTAGTCCCAAGATGTAGGTAATGTATAAAGGAAACAGGATTTATTGGTGGTTTCCAGCTTTCCTTCAGCCGTGCAGCAACTCCGTCTCTGGCTGGCTGAGTTCTCCCGAGACGCAGCCTTTGAAATTCCCAGGGGGATTAAACCGAGGAAAAATTGGGAGGGAGGGAGGGGGCTGGGAGAAAAGTTCCTGTGAGGAGAAGGTCACCTCCATGCCTTTACAACAAGCAACTTCCTATGATTTGATAAAACGATAATCTTAATACCTTCCTCACCATCTCAAACTCTTCAAGCAGATTTACCACCTCCCCGGTAAGATACAGCGTGATGCAAGGCCCCCGCTGCCTCCGCGCGTCGTAGCTGTGCTGCTAAGCCCCGCTCCGCACAGAGCAGCCTTTCTGGATTCCGCCCGGTCTTCAGAGGACTTACATCTCCTCGTTAATTTACTTCCAAGCAACAGTAATATATCATTAATGCTATTGTATATTAATAGCTGGCTTTAGTTCTTAATGCATCCAAGGGCATGTCCTGGGAATTTGAAGAAAGGACATCAAGAAAAGATTAAGAAGTGAGGAGCTCTAGGGAAAGGCTCTTGTTCCTAATTAAGGACATGAAAATCCCAGGAAGTGGTGGGAATGTTGGGAACAGACATCGCTGGCTCCGATACCGGGAAATGATTAAAATCTACTGGTGCTCAGGAACGGCAGGACCACAGGCAAGCGGCTGTGACACATACGACTGAGCCAGTGCGATGTCGGGGTCTAAACGGTTGTTAAAGGTCATCTGGCGCCTCTTGGAGAGAGCAGGGCGAGGAGCTGCAGGAAAGTTTCTGCGTCTTTTGCAGCTGCCTCTGCACGCAAAGCGTGTTCCCAGCAACAGATACAGTCGTGTAAAATGCGATTGGGCTCTGGGATGAGCGCAGTCTCTGCGGGGTTGCGAGTCCTGGGTCAAAGGACCCTCTCCTGCAGAGAACTGCCTAGAGCATTGCATGTAGAGGCTTGTTTCTTTTGTAGTTTAAAGCTGTGTGGTCAAGCGTCCTGATGTAGGACAGGCTTTGAACAGCAGACGAGATTTTGGACGAAGTCCAAGCTCCTACCCGACCTCCTTCACTCACAGAAAGAGGCCCTTGGATTTCCTCCGGCTTGTAACTAGACCCAGCAGAATAGACTGGAGAATTAGCTCCCATGAGAACACATCTTAAAGAGTGCCCGAACTGCTTAAGGACTTTTGAAATAGTTATCTATTGAGCTACATCTCTGAATTCAGCTGTGCTTTCATTGTGACTTGTGTATTTGTTTGGTTTTTCCCTTTCCTTGGAGCTACAGGGTACGATTATGTCCCACGCCAGAACTGGCGGCATGCAGTGCTGCTTGAGTTTGTGTGAAGTTTACAGGGCTCCTTCCAGCTCACAAAAGGAAGGGCACAGTGCTGACTGCTGCTTGGGATCAGACGCCAGAGTTTCAGAGCAGACTAGGGGACAGGGACGCTTGCGGCTGTGCAAACGTTTATGAACGGCAGGTCTAACGAAACGAGAACTTTCAGTGCTGTGAAAGAAACTTTTACCTGGTTTTGCATGAAGGACTAAGGACCGGACTCCGCAGGGGCTGTGTTAGTTCAGATCCTGACTGCCTGCTGGGCCAGGCGCACCGGGAGATCCGAGTACTCCGACACATCCAGCTGGTCCATCGCACTCAGCGCAGTTGCTGGTTGCTCGTAGCCTGACTGACCGTGGCTCTCAGCTGGCTCGCGGGCTAAAACATCTAAAAACAAGGGGAATTTTGCCAGAGTAGCCAAAGCGTTGGCCTGAACTCGTAGCCCTTCCAGAAATACACACAATAAATGTTTCTTTTAAATGCTAGTGCGTGGCGCCCAGAGCCCGGTGTGCATCGCAGGCTATCAGGCGGGAGACAGAATCCAAACGCAGTTTCCACTGAAAAGCTTCCAGAGCCCTTGTTTGGGCAGGGCTGGCAGAGCGTATCGCTGCGGGCTGCGCCGCTGCCTCTGTCCGGTGCGCACCTAACGATGCCGCCTTCTCTTCTCTTTCAGTCCGACATGCAGAGCTGGGAGGAGCAAAGCCAGGGAGCCATCTACACAGTGGAGTACGCCTGCAGGTACCAGAGACTCCTCCAAGCGGGAGGGTTGCGTTCGCAGGTGTTGTGGTGGAAACAAAGCAGAAGCCCTGACGCCTCCCTGGTGTAAGCCAGGGAGAGAGCGCAGCCGGGGCGGTGGGGTGGGGGCGCGAGGCAGTGCTCTCTGAACCGCTACCGTGAATCTCGGGGGCTTCACTTTGAGCGTGCCAGCTCTTCCCCAGGTCTGTGCGCGGTGCAGACCTGCCAATCTCCTGCAGTAAATCCACCCACCCGCTAGCTAGTGTGTGAAGGTGCAATGCGCCATATAGAGTTGAGGTTTCTTATTTACAGCCCTCTCTGTCAGGGGCCGTGTGCTCTAAAACCATGATGCCTTTGGAAATACTAACCGGTCCTCCGTCTCCCTCCCACCCCAACTTTTTCTTCTTTCAGTGCCATAAAAAACATGACTGACAGCAGCGTGTACTTCAAGAGCATTGACAGTAACCGGTCCTCCGTCTCCCTCCACCCCCCTCTTTTTCTTCTTTCAGTGCCATAAAAAACATGACTGACAGCAGCGTGTACTTCAAGAGCATTGACAGTCTGCTCAAACACGCCATAGCCATGAAGGATCAGCTGAACGCTGCTCAGGGCCGCAGGTAGCAAGGGGCTGTGACGCTGCCCGTTTATCTGAGCGACCGTTCTGGCTGGCAGAGGCGTTGGTGACGTAATGCAGCCTAGTGCAAATATGCCGAGCAGTTAGCTCAGTAATATGATTCTAGACTACGATTTGAAAGAGCATGCTGCTCGCCTTCCAGTGATCTTCTGGCTTTGTTTACTGGGAAGCAAATAATCTTGTTTGCAAAAGGGTAGCTGGAAAATAATTTATTGCCTCATTTAAAAAGGGATGTTTGGTTGTGTAACACATTAAATCTTTGTTGTGTCAAAGGCATTTGGAGTGGGATGATGCTACCGAGGCGGAGTAGGTGAGAGGCGGCGTTTGGTGCTGTTCTCTGTCATGTATGCGGCTCTTTTTGGGCAGAGTCCCACAGAGATAAGTGGTAGCAGAACGACGATGCTTTTTTGTATGTTTGCAGTTGAACTATAGCTACTAAAATATCTTCCAGCAGATCATCTGAGTCTAGTGTATTTGTCTCTCCTGAGAACGGTGTTGGTTTTGGAGTCTGACTGGATAGGAGTGAGAAAATTCCCAAATGCCCATCCCTGATAAAACCACCACAGCGAACAGAGAGCCTCCGTCTCTGCAGAATGACTCTGCCTTAGAGACTTCTGGCTCAGGTTCTGTATTTTCCCAGTTGCCCGCGTGGCAGGGTCACACTCTGTGCAGCCCAGAGCATTTTTAGTGGTTTTTGCGGTGGCGTGGCTGCAAAGATTGCCGTCTCGACACCCACGGGGGCTGGCGTGTGCTGCACCATAGTCTGCACAGCACACTGAAAGGTGTGCTTGTCTTAAGCTGCTCTCCTGCTGCAAGCAGTGAGGTTTTATTTGAGGGAGCCCCTGGTTCTTCACATCATTATGGCTGCTGGTGTCCTGCCTGCCTGCTGGATGTGACTGTCTCTTTTCTTTTTACAGCACTGTTGCCCCACAAGCCAAGAATCCTCCAGCCAGTTCCTGATTTCAGACAAGACTGGCCGTCCTCTGCCGCCTTCTCCAGCCCAGCTCTATGTTCTCCTACCACGGGGAGGAGTGAGAAACCACCTGCTCGATCTGTGAAGCTGCACGGAGGCCTCTGCCTGCCTCTCTGTTCCCAGTAACAAGGTGCTGTACCTGAGCAGGCAAATCCTGCCGCTGGGGTCAGGACTGCCTTCGTGGGGTGCTTTGGGGAGCAGTTGTGTCCCTTTCCACAGCACCTTGCAAAAGGGAACTGGGGTGGATCTGCATTTGTCCTTTCCAGTTCTTTTCCATGGCAGACTGCTACGAGGCGTCTTTCTCTCTACCTCTTGGCCACAGAAATATCTCGGAAAAACTAGGTCTTGCTTTCAGTATTTTGTAGACGGCTGTGTAAAGACGTAATGTAGGCACACTTCAGCTTTGTTCAGGAGGCATTCTGCAAGGAGAGTTTTTCATGTGTGTGCCAGGGAGTTGCTGGATTTGGTTTTAGTGAGAACAATAATAAAAAGAAAAAACAAGTAAGTTCTGTCTAAAACCTTCCCCTGTTGCTCGCCTCGGGCCGGGGGGGCTTGGAGCCTGCTGGCTCCGCGTGTTTCAAAGGGCATGGAGCAAAACAAAGACATGCAGAGTTGGAGCCTTTCAAGTGAAAAAAGAAACTGTCCTGTTCAAAAAAAAAAACAGAAAAGGGACTTTCTTCATCCCCCGTCAAGCAGCGGGAAGCAGAGCTGTACGCACAGCTTTGGAGGTCACTTTAGAAAGGATGCAACTTCAATGTTAATCTCTCCTGGAACCAGCAGTTCTCTTCTGCTGAAGAATTTACCAAGGATGCAGGGATCAAAGCAGCGCTAAACTCAGTTGCCAAAGAAATTATATTGTGTTCAGGATAACAGGTGTCTTTCAGGGTAATAGCACGGGAGGTGAGGGGGAATCTGTTTGAATCGGCGGCCTCCCTTCACTCCCTGAAATGCTTTACTGATTGCTGAATGATAAGGGATTGGGGAAGAACCAAGCGTGCTGCTGCTCTGGGCCTGGGCAGGGCTGGCAGAGCGTGGGGCTGCGAGTAACCAGCAAGGTGGTCGTCAGCGCAGGGACAGAGCGAGCTAAACCTGCTTGTGTTTCACAGAAACAGCTGCTGCCTTTAGTACTTGCGCTTCCTGCCCTGCACACAGCAGAGGACCGGCGGTGCCGATGCAAACCCCTTCCCAGACCATCAGCACTCTTCTCCTGGTGGCACCCAGAGAGGTCCCTCCACCACCGAGCAAAGCCAGGGCGCTGGGGCTGCCCCAGCACAGCCCCTTTCCCTGCTAAGACCCTGCTTAGCAAGGTGTGTCCTGCTCAGAGGGTGGATGCGCTGGTGACCAAGGAGCTGGCTCTCCGCCACCCCAAACCCACCCTCTGCAGCTTGCAGGCTGCTCTGGCTCCATCTCACTTGTTGCTCCTCCGTCACCTCCCTTGGTTTCTTACACCCGCCTGGCTGCGTGCCGGGGGGGAAGCCCTGCTGGGTCGGTCGTATGAACCGTCTCAGTGTAAGTGCTGGCTCCTGGGGATGGAGGAGGAAGGAAGGAGGCAGGGGAAGGGCAGGGAGGTACAGACAGCCAGAGAAATCGGCTGGGATCTGCTGGAGAAGGAGGGTAAGGTCTGTTCGTGGACAAGGTCCACTCGCTTCTTACCCACATGTTCCACTTCCTTCGCTGCAGTTGGGACAGCCGTGGGGGTCCTGCATGGGTCGCTGCCAGCCGCTGCCCTGCCAACGCAGTCCCCGTTCGCAGGGTGGCAAGTGCCAGCAGCGTCGCAGGTGGCAGGAGGGGCTGGGGGCTCAGGGCAGGCGGCCGAGGGCTTTTGGCTTTGAGTGGAAGTGGCGTCTTCTCGGTAAAAGAAACAAAGAGCACCAGGCAGTGGCTGCACAGACCCCCAGGCGGGAGGGTGGAAAAGCAGCCATCCCCCTGCTCTGCTGAGACATGACCTATACTAAGCTCTAAACAGAGATGCAAATCTCGGCCCTGGTGCCTGCAGCTCCCCTGGGATGAGATGGGGCGAAGAGGTCCCACTTCGACTCACACCAGAGTCGAGTCCTTGCCCGAGGCTCCAGGTTTGCGTGACAGCACGTTCCTCATCTCCTGGGTGATGCCGTTCCAGGGCTTGCCCTGTACCTGCAGCAGGCCTGACTCTGCCGACAGCGTCCTGTGTGTTCGGGGCAGGTTGTAGCTCTCCTTCTCGGAGCGAAGCCCGGGGCTGCCCGAGGAGGTGAGGTTGCTGCTGGCTGGAGAGCCCAGCTGGGATTTGCGCTCCAGGAAAGGAGGGAAGGAAAACTCCCGGTGGATCTCGGGCCGGGGCCGGGGTGCAGCCACGTTCTTGTTGTTCAGATCGCCGGCGGAGGATTCGCCGTGCTGGGCAGAGTCGTTCTCGTACAGGGTGTGAGAGACCTCGGAGCGGCTGCGGCGTGAAACCTGGGAAGCCCGTACCAGGGCGTGCGTCACCGTGATCAGCAGGACGATGATGCCGGAGGAGAGAATGCAGGCGCTGGCAATGCCGGCCTCCAGTTCAAACAGCAGCAGCATGTAGATGTGCGTCACCGTGATCAGCAGGACGATGATGCCGGAGGAGAGAATGCAGGCGCTGGCAATGCCGGCCTCCAGTTCAAACAGCAGCAGCATGTAGGAGAGCTGGAAGGAAAGGAGAGTGCAGAACATCTTGAGGAACCAGGAGGACTAAAGCGACGCAGCTGACCCGCAAACTTCAGGCCCTGTGAGGGCTGGTCACCAAGAACAGAAAGTTTGCACTATGGGAATGAGCTGGCAAAGCCGTTTGCAAAACAAACCCTATGCTGAAGTAGAAACTCAGCAGCTCGCAAGCACTCGGCAACCAGTGCAGGATGTATGGTCTGGGCTGAAACCGCGCAGTCCCTGCTGGGCTGTGCTGGAGGGAAATGAGCACTTGCCTGTTAGGTAGACTGAGATCCCGCAGCAGAACAAGCCGATGGCAGCGTGGCGAACCGTCCGGCTGTCCAGGAGGAACCAGTCTGCCCTGCCAAACAGGTGAGAAAAATACAGGTCTGCGTAGTCTCCTGGCCCTGGTCTCGGCACAGGAAAAACGCTGATGCTGTGGCCCCTGCTGAGAAACTGAAACACTGGTTTTGCATAGAGAAGAGGTTCAGAGCCAGGTCACAAGCCCAAGGACCTCTGCTGTGTTGGGGTTTCCCCCAGGCTGCTGGGTTGCACAGCTCTGGGCTGCGTTGTTCCCACTCTGGAACAGAAGATTTCTGAGATCACTTGAAATTTCAAACTTTTCCCGCCTGGTTCGAGCTGTGCTGCAGAAACCAGATGGGGGCAGGGGCTCAGGAGAGAGAGACAAATGGCTGGAGGCTTTTTGCAGGTGATTTGCCCCTGTTCAGCAAACCCTGAAGAGCAAGCAAGGAACAAAACTGAGGCCTGACAAGCCCATCTCCCCCTTAAAGAAAAGAATGACAAGTAAAGTGCTGGTGCATTGAATTAAGCAAGGCCAGGTTCTCCCTTCACCCTTGGGATTGGATTTCTGTGCTCAGCTCAGATTGCCAGAGCCTTTTGTCTGGAGGGGGTTTGGTACTTGAATTGTGCTTAAAACACATGAAAAGACCAGCTCCTTTCCAGCAGGGCCTTTGTTTCCCACCCAGCACGGACCCCTGTGCCTGCTGCCTGCGCTTTCCACCGGCACGCTCTCCGCCGAGCCAGCCTGCAGCCCCAGGGATTGGATTTCTGTGCTCAGCTCAGATTGCCAGAGCCTTTTGTCTGGAGGGGGTTTGGTACTTGAATTGTGCTTAAAACACATGAAAAGACCAGCTCCTTTCCAGCAGGGCCTTTGTTTCCCACCCAGCACGGACCCCTGTGCCTGCTGCCTGCGCTTTCCACCGGCATGCTCTCCGCCGAGCCAGCCTGCAGCCCCGGCACTGACAGCTCCGCTTGGGCGTCTTCGGAGCCCGATCGACCTGGCAAACCTCGGTCCTCGCTGGGCTTTGGAGGCTGCTGTCACCAGAGGATGCCTCCGCTAATTGGGAGAGCGGGATGCGGTCGTTAGGGGACGCAGCGTAGTGTGGCAGATGGGTGCCAGGCGACTCGGGGGGGTTGGAAATATCAGTGGTTGGAGAGATGCTGGCAGGACTGGATGCTCAGAAGCCGCAAACAGTCCCTGGGGGTGTACAGGGCATCGCTGTTCCCACTGGCCACCTTCAAAAGTACCCAGGAGCCGGTTGGAAACGTGCCCCGGCTTCGAAGGACCAGCTGAAGGGGCAGCAGCACAACCATCCTCCTGACAGGACCAGCCCTCGTGTTGCTCCTCTGCAACGCCAGCTCCTTCCACCCCGCGGGGTGAATTCAGCAGCCAAGGATGCTGTGCCCTGGCCCAGTCTCCCCCCAGCATGGCCTGGCCCCCTCCCCTCCTCCCGGGCTTGTTGTAGCCCCTTGGCCGTTGCCTCCTGCGTGGGGAGCCTGCAGCCGGGAGCCATTAATAGACCCTGGACCCGCTCCCGCTCCTCGCTGCCGGCGGGGAAGAGCAGCCGCTTTGTTTTATTAATTACCTGAGTCGGGGGGGATTAGCGGGGAGGAGAAGGACTTTGTTTGGAGCTGGCTTAGGCTATTGAGCGCAGCGCTGAGAAGCAGAGCGGTAATTCAGTGTGACAGGCCCAATGTGGGAAAGGTCCCGGGGACGTGAGCGGGTCCCCTAATGAAACCAGCGCCCAGTGGGGCCAGGCCAGCTCGGCCACGAGGAGACAGCAGCTAACAGCGTCCCGCGTCATGGGGGAGAGGGGCTGCGTCTTGCCGGCACCTCCTGCCCGGGGGGGCAGCCTGCAGACCAGCATCCCTGTGTCCCAAGAATTTGCCCTTTTCCTCCCAAAGATGAGTGTAACCTTCAGGTTGCAGCTGGGGAAACTGAGGCACAGCCAGACTAAGCGATCTGCTTGAGATCCCGGGCAGGGGGATACCAACCCAGGGCTCCCAGCCCTACCAACGCCTCCTATCCCCTGCAGCAAAGCCAAAAGCAGCCTCTCGCTTCGCCGGGGCTCTGGAGCGGAGCACAGAAATATTATTTAAAATCCGATTGTTTGGGAACAGCTTCCCTGCTCGGTGAGACGTGCCAGCGGGGTCCGCAGGCGTGCGGTGATGGTTGCCCTGTCCTGTAAGCCCTTGAACAAGTCGCTGCTGTTGGAGTATGGGCTGTCCCGCGGCCGGCACGCTCCGTCTCTCTACGTGTGACTTTGCATCTGGCTGCCTGATTAGTGCTGCTCGTGTTTCACGCTTGGGATTTTTCGAAAGTTGAACCTCACAACTTTGAAATCGAGCATTTTACAGCCCAAATCAATACCAGATCTCAGACAAATTTACAGCTGATGGGGAATTTTCTGCTGTAACAGTTTTCCAGCAGAAACTCGGCTCCCACAGAAAGCAAAGTTTGCTACGGGAGCTTTGTGTTTTGCAGAAATATTTTGCTCTCCTTCGTTAACGAGCACACTACGCATCAGCTTGGCTTGGAAGATGCTGAGAGGAGACACTGCCGCTTGCTGGAGTGCCTCCAGCCATCGTGCTCCATGCAGAGCATGAGGCATCGACGGGTTTGTCTAATTAGGGACAAAGCTAACTGTTGAAACATTATCGTTTCCTTTAAATGAGTTTTGACTTGCTTAAGTCGGAGTGGTCCCAAAATGGTCCCGTGGGGACAATCGTCTGAGCTACATGGAGGGACCTCCACGTACAGACCACTTTCCACCAAGGTGCTTTTAAATCTGATTATTCGCGCGTTGCTTTTTCCTTTTAACCCAGGAGCGGAGCTGGGGCCAGCGCAGCCGGAGGAGCCACCGACCCAGCCCGGGTCTCGGCGGAGGAAGGAGAGGGGAATTGCTTTGGAAACGGTTTTGCGAGTGTAAATGTGCTGGTAACGATTAAGTCAACGCATGTCTATGGTTAATGATCCCAGGCCTGCGGTCATTTTGGTGCTGCGCGACTGGCCTGTGCAACCACCCCGGCAGCGACCCGAAAAGCCCAGCTCTCCCGCTGCAAGGGGACAAATCTCGGGTGCTCCTGGGCAGGGCGGCCGAGCCCAGCACGTCCTCCCTGCCTTGGCCCTAGAGCTGAACTGGGCTGGCAGGCTGGTGTGACCCTACAAGCCTGGAGAGGGACCGTAACACACGGACTGGGTTTATACAGGGATGTTATCAGGGAAATTAAACAGCGTGTATTAGTGCAGCCGGGTGGACGGGCTGCTATAAACTTGCTCCTAGTCAATACAGTCGCTAAGCACAGCTACACCCCAAATTAAGGGGCGCGTTCCAGTGGGATTGACTGGCCAGAGACGACCCTGCGTCCCGGGCAGGCACCGCAGAGATGAGTTTTGTGATATCCAAGTGCTCAGCGAGTGCCAGCAGCATCGTTTGCTCCCTGCAACCCCCTTGCGCAGGGCAGTGACTTGGGGGGCCCTGGCAAAGGCCGGATCTTGGGGTGCAGGAGGCATCGGCAGGGCTGCGCATGAGCCCACGCCGAGGGGACAGGTGCCCTGTGACAGGTCCCGGGGCAGCGGTGCTACCCTGCACCCCTCACCCTCCTTGCACCCCCTGAGCCCTCCTTGCACCCCTCGTTCCCCCAATCCCTTCTGCACCCCTCCAGCACCCCAGCACCCTCCCTCCTCGGCGGACCTCCTTCCTCTCCAGCCCCCTGCTGCCCCCCAGCCTCCCACTGCCCAAGACCCCTCTGAGCCTCCCCTGCACCCCCGCAGCATCCCCGGGGCTCCAGAGTCCCCCA